TTTTAAGTGTACAAAGAACGTATTTAATCTAAAAAGGATTTAAAACTCGAATTCAAATGACGTAAAATATTTCAAATGCATTTGCACTTTGAGATTGTGAAAAAAGTCGAAAAAATCTTTAAAAATACTAAAATTTTTTAGAAATCTTGAAAGTTACAAAATAAAAAGAATTTTTCTTGCTTAACATAAACGTAAATAGGGTAATTTACAGCGGTTTGTTGTTTGTTTCTTTTATGTATTTTTAACGTAGTCAAATAATTTTTTTTGTTATATTTCGTTTTATTCATTTTTTTTTTTTTAACAAGAACATAACTTAAAATACATACATATAACATAAATCAGTACAATTTCATTTTTGGAGATTTAATTTTAAGTGTTAATTATAAAACAAAAAAGTATTAAGTTTAAAATAAAATAAAACGTAAATTAATAATAAAATACAAAATATTTGCAATCCGTTTTTAGTCGCGAAGTGGTTTTATGTCACCAATTTTTAACTAATCAAAGTCTTCACAAAGGTTTGTGGCAATTTGGAAACAGTTTTTTTGCGGCGTTTTGGGGCAGAGATTGCATTATTATAATTTTTTGTTTTTGTGTTTATTTGTATAGGGATTTGCAAATAGTATATACGTTGTGTGTGTGTGTGTGTGTGCTTAATATTTTTGTATGTGCTTACGTGTGTTTTAATAAAATCAGTTAAATGTTAATATTTGAAAAATTATTGAACAAAATTATTGAAGCATTATATTTTTTAAATTATTAAAATATTTTTATGAATAAGTATAATGTATGCAAACAGTAGAGAATTAAAGAAGTGAATGTGCAAAATTATTGTTTCTATCGAAGTAGTTTTGTTTTTTTACTTTTCCCCATTTCTCATTGAGCTATTTTTCTCTCTTTACTAGCGAAAATGACAGCAGGCTAGTACAGGTTTTTGGATAATTGGTACGGGCGAGTTAGGCACAAAAAAAAAAATATATATATATAAAGTATAAAAAAGAAAAAATAATGCGTAAAGCTGGTGTAGTTACTTGGAAGTGAAAAGTGTTTTCTTCATTTACTAGGATTTTTTTAAACAATTGAAACAGCGATATCGCGTTTTAGCGTTGACATCGATTACTTTGTATATAAATCTGTACTGAAATCCGAACTAATTTTAAATTTTAAATGGTTTGTTTTCTACTACTTTTTTATACTTTTAAGTGAATTTTTTGGATATCTAATTTTTTATATTTTAGCGTTGACAGCGTTTAAATTGTAAATAAATATGCACTGAAATCCACACTAATTAAAATTTTTTAATGTTTTTGTTTACTAATTTTTTATACTTTTAAGTGAAATCTTTGGAAACTTAATATAAAAATATTAAAACTGATCTGATCGAATTGAAAATTATAACTGGGGCCGTTTAAAAATTTTGATTTAAAATTTTTTTTTAACATTTTAGAATAGAAATGCCATGTAACGCCAGATTGGAAATACCCATTTGTATGGATACGTGATTATACACTTAAGTTTATTTTTCATAAATTTACCTCGCTGACTTAAAAATTTTCATGCTGAGAAAAGAAAATGTAATGTAAGTTAATAAATTTTTCTGCAATTAACTATATTTGATAGCAATTTTTAACCGCTTTAAGAATTTTTGTAATCTGTCCAAATAATTTCATTTTTACTAATTGCGAAACATACAAATGGGCAATCTTAGCATTAAGAGGAAATAGCTGTCACGCTAAAAATCAATTTGGCTCAGATTTCTTTAGATTTTTATCATTATTAAAGTTTTAATAATCAATTTAGTGATTTAGTTTAAAAAGGTTCGAAAGTTTTAGAAGACTATTTATGCTGTAAATTAAATATGTATTTTTTTTTATGGAAAAGCTTTTGCTCCCAAGCACTGCCTTACTATTAACGCACGAAAATATTTGAATAGAATGGAACAGCAACAATCTTTCTTTTCTTTACTCCATTTCACTCTGCCTCTTTCTAAAAGCGTTCATATATGTACATACATACATATTTGCCACCACACTTTTTCATCTCTCTCTCTCTCTCTCGCTCTCTCTCTACTTGAAACTGTTATTTGTTGACAGCAAACGATTTGTGCTTATTGTGTTTGATTTGTTTACCCCTGCACTTCTGTCATTCAATGTAAGGACCTCTATGCATATGTATGTATATTATATGGGTGTATAGCTACATATATGTATGTAAGTATTTCTTGGGATATAAATAATTCTAAGTTAGGTTTTGTTATTGCATGTGAATCATTCAATTGATATTTATTTTTAAATTTTTTCTCTGAAGTATTGCCAGCTTTCTAGTTATTATTATTAGCCAATTTGAGTTAGGGTAATTTTTTTTTTAACTTTATTAAGTATGCATGTATGTATATATTTGTTTAAAATCTATTAACTTTAGTTTTATGCGCGTAGTTTGGAAATATTTAAAAGTTTTTTTTTGTTTAAATTTAGTTATATATTTTTGACATAAATTTTCTGTATGACATTTTATTAATTATTTGTTATATTGTATATTTAAGTTAAGCTTACGTTTTTATTATTATTTTTTATTTTTGCAATTATTTCAGTGGATTTTATTTATGAAAACTAAAAATAAAACCCTATTGTGATGTTTAATTAGTTCGTTGCCATGTCATTGATAATTTGCTGCTTTTTCGCGCAGCAGATTGTGATTTTTTGTTGTTTGTTTTTTATATTTGCAATTCGCGTTAATTGTGCACTGTTATTTTATTTTTATTATCTAATACACCCCTTACATTTTTTCAATAAAAAAGGTTTTCAGACAGTTTTTTTATTATTATTAAAGATTTCAAATATTATAGATTGCAATTTCTTGAAGGCATTAATTTGAAAACACTAGCTTTCTGCATTCAACTAAATTATGTACGTAAAAAATTGATCTTTTAATAGCAAATAATTGAATTTTTAAGTGTAAGGCCAAGACATTTACAGAATTGATATGGTCATAAAAATTACTGTAACAAACTTTAGCTGAATAAAAATTGCCAAAAACAAATTTTACGTCTATAAAAAAAAAAAAAATAAAACAAAGAAAATTTTATCAAATTTTTTCTTTTTGCGAAACATTACCTTTTTGATATTTTCCACAATGTTATCTACATACATATGTATTTCTTTAGCTTTATAAGTGTTTAATTAAAATTTCTTATAACACCCAACATGTTGACATTATAAAATAAATTCATATGCCAGCGCACATTTTTTGCACTAAATAACCGTCTAGCGGATATTGTTTTCTTATTAAATTGCAACTCTTACTTAATTGCAATTAAAAATTTACCAATTCATGCACATTTGTACGCTCAAGCCCATTAGATATACTCATATGCTTGTACATACAAATTAAAATTCTATTATGTAATATAAGTTTTAAGAATTTTCAATTATCAGTCAATTTTTTTTTCGCCAAGCTTTGCTTTTTGAATTTTCAAAGTATTCTCCATTTTCCACAATTGCGTTGTTTTTCTTTTTCAATTCGCACAGTACAATTATTTGATGTTTGCTTTTTTTAAATGATAGATACTTCTTTTTTTTCGGCAACATATTTACAAGATTTAGGTGACCAAACATACATACATAATTTGGGAGTTGTTTTGCTATAAAATATTTTTTATTATTTTGATATTTTTTTTTTCATTTTTATTTCATAACTTTTTCTTGTTTTTAATCCTGTCTGAATTTCTATTTTTATATAATAGTGTATAAAAAGTGCGCATCGAAATAGTACTAATCAGTTAGATATAACGTTGGCTTGTTTGCCCTCTTAATCGTATTATTATTATTATTTTTTTTTTTTGACGACGTCTCCTAAGACGGTTATGCGTCGGAAGTAATTTTTTCACAACGATTTTCCGGCTTCAGTGTTTTTGTTTGTTTTACTTTCTAACGCTTTATTGTTCACCTAATTCTTATGTATTTTTAATAGTTTTTAATTTTCTGTTTTTCAATTCATTCAAGTTTTTGCGTGTGTGTGTTTTTTTTTGTTTGTCTGTTGTGGTACTAAAAGATTGCTCTGTATGCATTAATATTTTTTGTTTTGCTTTTTATTGTTGCAATTTAAAATGTCCAAAGAAGCCAAAATAATACTTGAGAAATAAATCGTTTAAAATTGTATGCCGACTGCTACTTTAATACAAACAGTTAATTTTCGAGGACATTAAATATAATTTTTTTTTTTATTAAGTTTCACTGAATTTAGACTACGTACTCTTTATTTTAAAAGATATACATTTACTTACATACATGCTTACATATTTTTTTCAAATTGCAAAATTTACGGACGCGAATCTTTAAATGAATACAGCACTACTTTTTTGTTGTTTTATGAATTTTATATTTCTACTAATTTTTGCGTTGGAGAATCATTGATTATTTGTTTGTTTCTTTGTTTAATTGAATTAAAATCTCCGACCTTTCGTTTCGCTTTTCACATTTTTCTTTTCTAATAAATGTACGTGCCATAAGTGTTATTATTTAATTTTTATTGGACTGCTATAAAGTTTGTTTAGATAGTGGCGCTATATATGGTGTTTATGAATGTATGTATATGTATGCATTTGCGTATGTACAGTAGGGTGCATCATCAAAAAAATATACATATCCTACGATTTCCGCCAAAATATTTCGCAAAAATATTAAGACTTACGCGAGCTAGCCTGATTTGAAAATACTTGCAAAATTTATAAATTTCTTAAATATTTTTAAGCAGACCCTTTAAGCATATGTTATTTGACGTATTTTTTTTATATTTTTAAAACTTATTTTATTCATAAAAAACAGGCTTTTTAAAGCTATTTTAAAATTGGGTTCACCTCACGAAAATTAATGTTTTTTGCGAAATAAAAAAACTTTTCGTATAAAGAGTGATGCACCCTAATTTACCTACATATGTACCTACATATTCATGCTTGTAGTATATGTATCTTATGTATGGTTATTGTTCATTATTATTGCTTTCCCGCGGATGATGTTGAAATTGCATTGTTAGGGCTTCAAAAAGAAAATTTCTCCCAACGGTAAATTCCTGAACTAATTTTTAATGGTTTTTATTTATCCTTATATTTTTTTCTATGTACTTTTTTGCTCTATGAACGTTCATCCTTCATTTATGTTATTACATTTTGTCAATATTTGACCCTTTTTTTCTTTTTTCTTTCCTCTCTAATTGATTTGGTGTTGTTGTATTTGCATTTTTCATTTCACTGCTTTTTATGCTTAACGAGTAAATAATGTATGTATTTTAGTTGTAATTATTATTGTTGTTGTTGCTGCTTCATGACTACATATTTTGGCTATTGGCCTCGCGCTCTCCTTGCATTTCACATATATATGTATATATGTATGTATACATATTTTGCAAGAAAGTGCATTTTTTTTTCTTTGAATTTTGTTACTGCGGTTGTTTTTGTTGCGGCTACATATATCGCACTTTTGATAATATAGAGATGTAATTCAAAATTTATGTTTTTGGAGATTTCAACACACAATTAATAAGCTTCTTGGGGAGAATATGCTCTGCCTAAAAGATGACTAAACTTCCCAAAAATGGCGAAGATATGTGTCTTTCCATCTGTCTTTTGTATGAACTGATCAAACTTTGATTGCGTTTTCCCATAAAATTAAAATTTTGAAATACATACTTCTGTATATTATTAAACGTGCGCTATATCTATGCATATACTCCTATATAAACGCTGTTCAAATTGCTGCTATTGTTGTTATTGCGCCGGGGTAAGTAATATGCAGTTGTAATATTGTTGTCATAGGTATGCAGTTTTTTTACAAGTATTTTTGCTGTTTTTTATGGTTGTTGTTTATTGTTGTTGTTGTTGTTGCTTTATTGTTTTTTTTTTGTTTTTGTTGCTGCTGTTGTTGTTTAACTCCATGCTGGAAAAGTATCTGTGTACCATTGCTCGCCATTAGTGCCAAGTGGTTGTTGTGGTAACGGTATACTGCCCCAACTGCCATTGCCGATTAAACCGCTTGGGTAACGTCGCTTAATATCTGCAGGATTTTGGTGACCACCATCAAATTTACGTTTACCGACTACTGCACTCGTCACGGTGGTAAGTGGGTGGATAGGTAGGAACATACATACATATATGTGAGTGTATGTGTGGGTTAGATTGTACGTGCGAGTGGTTGCCACAGCGTTAAGTAAACGTTGAATGGTGTTTTTTTTGAGATTTTTTATTTAATTTTTTTTTTTTTTGATTTTTGGGTGAAAAATTGTGGTTGTGTTATCAAAGAAAAGAGAGAAATGAAATTAGCATTATTACTTGTTTTAGAGAAAAATTTCAAAAGCATTAAAAAATCAATTAATAGATCTATTTTTGACCTGTTTAATGCATTTGTTAAAACTTTTACTAATATACTCTTTTTGTAAGCCTTTTGTAGAAAAAAAATTTAGAAAATTTTATGTCTTGCATGAATGGAAAATAGAAAATGTGGAATTCTTTTTGTAATATTTTTATTTTTTTTAATTGTGCAGGCATTTTAACATGTGTGTATGCTCAAATTATCGAAAATTTTAAATTGTTTTTATTACTGCATATTTTTTTTCTTATCCGATTTAGCATTTTTATTCATCACCTTCGCCTCTATTTTCCATTCACAGACAATATGCCCTATCTGTTGTTTATTTTTTTTTTTTGCATGTCTAAAATCCCAATTGAATAAAATTTAGGTACAAAAATATTTATAGTACATTACAAATGGGAGTGAAAACATAATAAACCAAATAATAAATAACATACAAAAGGTTCATATAAATTAAGCATAGGTGAAACCTGCGTGGGATAGAAAAATATACATACATATGTATGTATATCTATTTTACACATTCGTATGAAAGGGATTTCGGGCTGGCGGAGTTACAAATAAAATTAAAACAAATTCGATGTATTTTTTTAATGATTTTTATCATTACACAAGAAGAAATTTATTTCCAGAAATTGACATAATTTTGCATAGTACAAAATGGTATTGGTTTTTCTCTCGTCAAAAGGAAATAATGTTAGAAAATTTACAATAATGTGTTTGCGGTACGAGTACTTAAAAAAAAAAAAAAAAAAAACAATTAACGAACATAGTAAATGACAAAAAACAAAATACAAAAAATTGAGGGTACATATTATTTTACATACATATTCAAATTATATACTATGTATACTAGCTATATACGATCAATCAAGTGCACATACATACGTAGATGATAGATACGATAGTAGGTAATAGCGACAGTTGAATGAGAGAAAAGCCAAAAATGATGGCAGCGTCGACAATTCAGTATAGAAATTAGAATTCGTATTCGTATTCGTAATGAAATCGCGCTGTTAACTTCAATGGGATAATTACAATAGATAGATTTGCTTACGCTTTTATTCGAAAAAGCTTTTTCCAAAAATTGTTGTTATTTGCTGGGTACTTGAAAGAGTGGCGCAAATGCAATCAAAAATTTCATCCGCCATTTTGTTCTGAAAAAGTTTTCTGGGATTTTTTTTTTCAAATAATTTGATGTGCAAATTGTTCGTGAAATTAAAAATAAACTCTTTCATCCAAATTCTGCGTTCTTGATTCTGATTAATTTCTCTAAATGACGGTTTGAATTCAATGAAAATTTGCCAAAATATTTCTGATAATAAAACTTCTATTTGCAATTTAGGGTAGACCACGTCAATGATGCGCAATTTTCTTATGCATGAACTCCGATGGAAGCTGAAAGTTTTTTTTTTTGGTTTAGTTATGCAGGAAAGGAAAGAAAGTATTAGGCATGAAATATGACTAAAATATGAATGAAATTAAATAACTTAACACACACATAATTGGCAAATTATTATAAAGCTACAATATGTACAACTACGCGAACGAAATTCGTATAAAGCTTCTGATAACAAAATTCATTAATGCTAGAGAGACACACTTCGTAAAATGGTAGTATTAAAACTGCGATCTAAGCCACACGTGTCTGCCTTATGCCGAATTTCCACTATGTACTGAATTGAAAAAAAATTGGAGGCTGTTCTTAGATATCGCAAATTTTTTAATTCGTTAAAATGAACGCAACCATTTCTAGAAATAAGTATATTGTCAATTCATTCAGCTATTCAGCCAATAAATTTTGTGTTCACACGCAGCCAATATTCAATTTGCTCAATTTGCAATTAACATTTGAAAATAGTTATTTTTTTAATTTTTATTTTTTTTTGTATTAAAAAATTGGAATTATGTATCTACCTGTCACCATATTTCCCCTTTTTAGATTAAATAGAGTTCACCTAAAATATACTTAAATTAATATTTCTTAATTGTTCAATTTCGTTGGCTGTGTGAACATAGCATAATTTTTCTATGAAAAACTAGTCTTAAAAAATGTATTATCTCCGGAGTTGACAAAGAAGCCGCCACTTCTGGGTTAAAATTATAAAGTAAGTGCAAGTTAGCCACTTAATTGCAGTTGCAAAATGGAGTTATTTCATTAAAGAGACACAATGCAGGTCTGTAATGACCTGGTCATTATTATCGTAGTTATTGTTTCTCGACACATATTTTTATGCAATAATATCTGACTTTTTGAAATATATTCATTTTGTTATTCGAAGCTTTATATAATTGAAACAAAATTTTTCTACAACACAACACACGTGTTCATACATATGCATTTAAATAATGTCTACTATAAAACCATTAAATACATTAGTATATGTATGTATATATGTATGTACGCAAATAAATATTGAATATCTGGATGATTTGCAAACAATTTCTATGATAACAAAATAATAAATGTAGCGAATAAAAATAGAATAAAGTTTTATGTGTTTAGCAACAATACCTATGTATGTATTAAACACAAATAAATATGCATTTGTTTGATTTGTTCGGAAACAAAAAACATATTAAAACTTTTCTTAAAGAAAAACTAAAGTTGTAATTAAACGAATCGATTAGTATTTAAATGTTCAAAAAGTATTTCCCTACACGTAACAAGTAGTTATATATGTTTGAATAAATTTTTCAAAATTTTTATTACTACCTATATAATTTTAATCATAAAATTTTACTAACTTATATGAATAATGTTAAAAATATTAATATTGGAAAATGGTAATAGCAGCATTTTTTTTATTTTTTCGAAAATTAGCATATTATACATTAGGGTGTTCCTTGAAATATAAAGCTCTTAAGTCAACCCTTTATTTTGTTCAATATAAAAAATAAAGACATACACGAAAATTTTTACATTTTTTTTTTTAATTAAAGGGTCGTTACCTGAGTTTAAAAAAATTAAATTTTTAAAATCGCAAAAATTCGAAAAACGTTTCAACATTAACCAGCTATAACTGAGCGAGTTTATAGTTATCATTCTCCATAAGATTCCATAGATTCCATAAAATGTCAAATTGGGTAGCGACCTCTAAAAATTTGTTAAAAAATTGTAAATTTTCGTGGATGTCTCTATTTTATACCCAGAACAAAATGAAATGGTGTTCCAGTAAAATTTTTGATGTTGCCATTTTAGATAAGGATCGCCCTAATGCACATATTGTGTTAGGGGCAGCTGGCAATAGATGTGATTGCATTCCTTTTGGGAGTAAATTTTTTTCACTAATTAATTGTTAAAAAATGTTGAATATTTTCTGTGGCAAAAGACAAAATTTAAAAAAAGGATAATTTTTCGATTTTCTTAACATATCGGCTCCTGTACGCGAATCTATGGCATGTGCCAGAAACCAAATTTTACAGGAAAGCATTTTTTTGCTTCCAAATTTTTTTCGAAAATTATTTTTTTACTTACTTACAAACTTTTATGTGATATTTTCGCCCACAACAAAAAAATGCGCTGAAATAAACAGGAAATTTTTGGCGTAACTATGTAAATGGATTTCAGCTACAATATTTTACAAGGCGATGCGCGGTGGGTTGTAGAACAAATTTGCATCAAAAAGTCAATTTCGAAAAAATGGCTCATGCGATAATTTCGCGCAAAGGGTTCGATATATTGTAATATAAATAAATATTTTTATTTTTACATAACTTAATGACTTAAATTACATTTTGGAGTGGTAGTCCGATTCGTTGGATTGCAATTTTGGAAGCTTGCCACCTTAGGGCATTCACAGCTTCATTGAACAGGTATTATAAGGTGAAACAATTATCACACCTGATGGCTGACAATTTTGAAAACAATATAAAATAAAATAGAACTTCGAAATTTGAAAGGATTTTTTTTTTTTTACAACGAAAATAAAAGAACTTTTGTTATGTTAATTCGAAATCCTTCTTTAGAGACCATGGGAGGTACAGTGTTTTAATTGTTTATTAGTCTCTATCGCAATTGTGGAAGGCGTCTGAAAAGTTCGTCTTCTACAAAATCGCCGCGAAAAAAATTGGAAATTTGTCTATTTCCAAAGGAAAGTTGTTACCTATCTTGCTTGTGATGGTTGTTTCAATGACTTTTGTATGGTATTTATAATTAGGCAAAGGAGTGCATGTATGAAGGTACCAACGATCTGTCAAAAAGTATAGGGAATTACTAAGTTTTCATTATTCAAAATTTTAAATTACCTATTTTGTCGCCTTCGAAGTGGGGAGCATATCTACAAAGATTTGAAAATTTGTGAATTTCTGAAAATTCTTATCGCTCGAATTTTTTCGCACAAAAAATTGTGCTGCTGCAAAAAATTCCGTTTCGCAGTATCTCCATTTAAAAAAGAATCATTTTTTACAGTACGAGTATTAGTTATGTTTGAAATAATTTTACCATTAAATAAAGGAACTCCTGATACTAAATATGTGTACATCCCGCGACAAACAAAATTTCTAACATTGTCGAAAAATCTTTAGAATTTAACAAAGTTGCGCAACAAAAATTTTCTAGTTTGTAGTGATGTACTGAGTAGATAATTTTAAGTTTTGATCAATATTCGGCACCCGTTCGAAAAGTATCCAACACTTTATAAAATTTCATAACATTAAAAAATAGTTGGTTGTGATTTCAAGTCCTCTAAACATTTGTTTAGCCGTTATAAACTTTACGACTTACGATA